TTAACTTCAGTGCATCTTCTTCACTGTCCTTCAGATATTCTTCCAATGCCCTTTTTTCTTTTTCAATGTCTGGTGTACTTGCAACATTCCACTCATCATCATCATCATCATCATCATCATCATCATCATCATCATCATCATCATCTTATCCTGCCTTTTTTATGTATATAACTCAAGGCAGTGCACATACTTAATATTCCTACCTCCTATTTTTCCCCACAACAACAACCCTGTGAGGTGGGATGGGCTGAGAGAGAGTGACTGGCCCAAGGTCACGTATCCAGGATTCATGCCTACAGGAGGCCTAGAACTCAGTCTCCTGGTTTCTAGGCCAGCAACTTACCCCAGACTGGCTTGTTACAAAGTTATTCTTCATTAAATAAAAGGTGAGATGAGTGATAGTTTGGGAAACTGAATCAAATAAAAGAGATGTACTCAACATTTATGAAGCCCCTTTACAAGTTTCAGAACTCTTCATATTACAAAAGGAAAGTAATGGTAGTTTCTCAGTGTTTTGGCAGGTGTGTGAATCTGATTATTCAGCTCTTGCTCATGGGTATCAAATAACCTGCAAGCAGTTCAGAGTGTGACAGCTGTGTTGGCTACCCAGTATACTACAAGAAACCATGATGCCAAAAAACTCACATAAGAAAAAGAAATGCTTATATACCTGATTATTAGCAAAGGTGTGCCAGGTTCTTCAGTCATGCCCAAAACAGTATCTTTTAAACCCAGGCATAGTATGTTAGGACCACAAAGAATAAAGAATCATGTGTTTAAAAGAGGATCAAGCACTTATAGGTTAATGAAAAATGTATTATTAATAGCTGTGCCTTGACCCAAACTCTCTGTTTTTGAAAGTCATTACTTAACTGTTTTTTAAATGTATCTTCCTAGAAGTTGTCAGAATCTACTAGAAAGATGCATTTCATTGTTAACTGTCCTTCTTGTGTCCATAGGATCTTCAGAAATGTTTTCAAAAAATATCTGAGAAACTCTTTATTGATGATTATTATAAGCAACTATTTAATTGATACAAGCATATAATCTGTTTGGAATTTAAATACATGCTGCATTGATGCATATATATGTTGTTTAAAAGTTAACAATGTTTATTTGATGTTATCTGCGTTTAGCCAACAATGCATGTTTGATTATATTTACTTATGAAGAATAGGTAACACATGTTAAATGTTAACATATGCTACTTATTCTTAGCTGAAAAATAAATAAGGAAAGATTTTCCTATAGGATAGTATCAGAGTCTTGGGAAAAGTTTTTCTTTATTTTATTGATGGTCAATATTAAATAGTGTCACTTGTTTTTTAGGGCATGAATATTTGGGAAATTCCTCCAAATGGGCAAGGAATCACAACTTTACTAGCGCTGAATATTTTAGAAAATTTCAGTATGAAAGGTATGATCTGCTTCTAATTTGTGTGTACTTGTTGTTTCTTGAAAATGATAAAAACATTAAATAGGGAGGTTTCTACTTTAGGAAAAGAAGAGGAAAAAAGCCTTCTGTCAAACTGACTTTATATTGAATGCAGGACCACTGACAGTGAGACTTATTTAATAGACATTTATATGACCACGCAAAAGATTGACAACATTTTGCTATGTCTGCAAGTCTAATAGCTATTGGCTTAAAACAATAGAAGCCACACAGGGTTATAGACTAAGCTGAGAAATTGGAGGGAAAAATTGAGAAAAGGCAGTAGCAAATTGCTTCTGTGTTGTTGCCAAGGAAACAAGTTTAACATGTGTATGGAGTTCTCCGGAATCACTCAAGCATAATTTGAGGGAGACTTTATTTATATAAATCATAGTACAGTATTGTTCATACAAACATAGAAATACCCATACACATCAATTAATACAGGAGGTAATTAAGCTTTTTTAGAAATAAAAATAAAAATAATATTTTTATATTATAAAAATCCCTAATCACATAACTCCCATCCCCTTGCAGTAAATTTAAAAGAAACTTGGATGTTTCTGATTTTATAATTTTTAAATATTTTTTTCCTGAAGATGCCAAAATGTATTTTGAGTGTATGAAGAATTCTTTGCCCTCACTTTGGCATAGTGGAATTAAATACTATATAAAGGAGTTCCCAAGAGAGTTCTTTCTGTTAGACATGAATTTGTTCAGATTACATTTTGGACTATGCCAGTGGAATATTGGAGTGGTAAATGTTTTAATTGCCCAATAAATTATAGTCTGTATTGTAAAAACGTAATTTAATATTTTTAGCTTTATATGAATATTTATCTTATTTATCACATTTTAATAAACCTTGGAATAGTAATGAATGGAAGTAATTATTTCATCTCAGAACACTTATTACTAATTAAGAATATGGCATGCTGTTAAGTAATAACAGTCTTCAGCCCTGCTCTAGGACTCTTATTTGATGTATTAATTCTTATAAGTGCCTCAGTTTTCATATAGAGACATACCTGCAGGATTCCAGCCTCTTTTTACAGCCTTTACTATCTCTCTCCGTGTTTTTGAAGGAGGAATTTCCTTCAAAAACTTTCCATTGCAAGACATATATCTTTTCTGATGCCCTCTAAAAGGAACAGATACTTCCTGGTATTTCAAAGCTCTTCCACCATTGCAAAGCTTTTCTTGTAGATCAAATATTGGTCATTGTAGTGCTAAAAGCTAGAGACATTGTAGCTATATATGTAAAATTACTTCCATAAACAATAACCAAAAAGATAATTCTTGATACAGACATGTAGCATAACCTGCTTTATGTACACCTTCCAGCTCTCCAGGGTACAACTGTAATCTAGCCACCTATTCTGATGATCCAGATGATGATAGAATTAGAATTCTAAAATGCTGCTTGCTGAGAATGTGTTGGTGAGGCCACTGGCGAATTTTCCTATGGCTAAAAAGAATACCTGTAAAATCACAGACTTAGGTTTGCTAGCCTGAAGTATTGGCTTTTTGAAGCATATCAGTGGCTTTGGAATGAACATTACTATGATGAAACATTGTTTAAAAGCCTGCCAAATGCCATCTTGAAAACCCTGTCTTTTTTACAGTGGAGATTAGCTTTTATGGATAGATTTTATGATTTTATTAATGTCTTATCTCATACATTGTAAGCCAGCTGGAATCAGAAGAGCAGGTGGCATATACATTTTGGTATATAAATACATAAACAGACACATGAAGAGGCCTAAATAAATAAATAAAGCCAAAATACAAAAGGCAAGCGGATGGGAATGAGGAGGAAGATCCATGAGAGTCAGGGATAAAGGAAGTATATTAGGATGACCGTGGAAGAGAATGGAGCAGAAGAAGAATGGGATTTTTCTCCTATGCTGCCCCATACGTTTGTTTTGATTTCTCAGAGATATATTTTTCCAGCCAAAGTTTGGACTTGGCTTTTGAATGGTATGATGGTAGGGCCAGAAGAAGAAAGGAGTGGACCTGGGACAAAAACTAAATTTAATTCATATTTAAATTTAATTAAAATTAAATTAATTACATATACTTAATATGATTACTTCTCATAAAATCCATGTTTTTCCCTTTTGTCAGTTTTTATTTTTCCCTATAATTTAGTGGCAATCTATGGAGATGCTCTGGTGGTGGTGGGGCGCATCCAAAGCTCTTAGGGATCATCACCATCATCATCATCATCATCAAATTTATATGCTGCCCAACCCCCAGTAACTCTTGAACAATTTATAAATTGTTAAAAGCATGTAAAAATAAGAAAATCCAAAACAAAACAAAAAGGAACAAAGATAGCATTGATAACAAACCTAGATGGGGAGAAAGAAAAAGAAGAAAAGGAGCTTCAATCACACTCAACAAAGGCCTGGGTGATGAGCATCTCTGGTACAGAAAATAATATATGAATGAATTCAGTGTTTTAACTTGTTCATCAGCAGTGAGTATACAGTTATACTTCTATGTATGTGAAGGATATTATGAATTGCAAACAATAATTTGTGTTGGCTTTCTTCTGTAGACCTGGACCATAATTCTACACATTACCTGCACATTTTAATTGAAGCTTTCAAGCTGAGCTTTGCTGATAGTTTCTGGTTTTGTGCTGATCCAGATAAAGGAACAGTACCTAAAGCACACCTCCTTTCTAAATCTTATGCCAGAGACCGTTCAAAGCTAATCAATTTACAGAGGTATGCTGCCTTTGCTGTTTGCTTTTATGAATAAGTGCCTTTGTGGTCCTGAAATACCAAGCGACACTACTATGTTACTATTACTGGCTTCAGCTTTCTTTTAAAATTATGTTAATGTTTACCAGCTACTCCAGTTGCTTGGTTATGCCCAATATTGACATTTTTCTCCGAACTGCATGCCGCTATGAAGGTTGCAAATGGCGATCACATGACTGCAGGGTGCTGTGACGGTCATAAATACCAGCTGATTGTGAAGTGCCCAAATCTCGATCACATGACTGCAAGGACACTGTGACGGTCATAAGTGTGAGGACCGGTCATAAAGTTACTTCTTTAGCATTGTCATAACTTCAAACGGTCGCTAAACAAGGCAGTCGTTAAGCAAAGACTACCTTTATACCTATGATATTTCTACATTGCTTAGTATATCAAATACAGAGATTTTATCAGATAAATTATTGTAGGAAAACTAGATGAAATTTATGAAGAAATGAGTATATGCATCTGGGCTGGGCAAAGGAGAGGACAGAGAGTAATGTGAAGCAAATAAGTGTGCCTGATTAGCACACCCAATTTAAAGAATGACAAGATGCTGCAGACTAACTACTCTCTTAATAAAAGTCTTCTGTTCAGGTTCCAGCCAACCACTTCGTCTAAGTAAAAAAGCCCATTACTCCACTCATCCTCAGTTTTTCTTTTCCAGTTGACCTGTGGTGTCTGTAGGGAGGGGTTGAAATAGGCAAGATGTTGGTCACCATGACATGATCAAAACCTATCCTTTTTTACAGCACTGTGCAATGTTGATGCAGATACAGAAGAAGTAGGAATTGGATTCATGCTGCTATAGCCACCAACTTGCCTGTTTTGCCTCTCCTCCCCCCCCCTCGCAGATTGCTGCAATTGACATTTTGCAGTCACACTCTTTGGATTTCGTGTGGAGGGATTGCCCTCTTAAGTTGCTTGTTTTCAAAATGCACATTTTAATGTCTGAAAGTTTCTAGATTTTCCCCAAGTCTGCAAATTCTTAATGTTTCTGAGAGATCATATTATGGCTTTATATGGCATTCACTGCTTGAGTTTGTTGTTGTGGGAATGTTGCCTAACAAAATATACCTGGAGAACACTTTGTCAAAATGGGGAAAAAGTAAATTTATATTTCTATCATATTTTGTTAAAAAGTGCTCGCTGTTAGTAATTTCAGCATAAGGAATTTAGTCAAGTGTTGAATTTACCATTATGCTAGAACATTTTCAATTGTCAGACTGGCCATGATGCCAGAATGCATCTTGAAAATCCCAAGGATCAGTCTGTTAAAAATACCAGTATTGTGTACTTTAGATAAAATGTTTGCTTAATCTTGGCAGTGCTATGTTTGGGATTAACCTCCCAGTGGAAACATTTCTAAAAAAAATCCAGTTGTTACCTGTTCACAGGAGACTTTGATCAGTTCCTATGTCACTTTGTTTCAACTTTCTAAAGTACACATTGCAGCAAATAAATCGTTAAAAGTTTCCTTAGTATAGCCATTGTATTTTTTTTTTAATGCTTTATTGCCCTGCTCCAGGATGTCTCTACATGTTTGGGGTTCCCACACCAATTTTCTGCAAAAAATTAATAAAATAGGAGGTGCATGATACCTCCATTTTTTGTTTTTAAATAGTCTCAAAACAGAAAAAAAGTTGGGCAAAAAATCATGGTCCCATCTCATCTTGTAGTTGTAGCAGTTTTATTTATAACTCTTTTACTCACTTATAACTGAGACTAGAATAAAACAATTGAAGCAACAGTATATTACCGTTATTTGCAAACGTTTTTGTGGGTTTTGGCTACAAGAACTACATAGAAAGGGGTCCCTAGTCATAGACCCTGGCCCAATATAAATAGATGGCTTCCTCAAATAAGCAAATTTCCCATAGATTCTAGGAAGAACAGAAATTGAGGATTAGGCCGCCAACTAAAATTCAGCCCTCATCACTCTGTAAACACTGCAAACAGTGCCAATGTTTTAAAGTTTCTGCTTTTTTTCCCCCACCAGAGCAACTGCCAAATATAGTCATGGAAATCCCTTCCCAGTGGGGGGTGACACAGTTTATTTTAGTGTGGTGGATGCCGAAGGCAATGCCTGCTCTTTCATTAACAGCCTCTATAAAGGATTTGGTGCAGGGCTGGTGCCAGATGGCTGTGGATTTACACTGCAAGTAAGAAAGTATTTTTCAGCATTAAGAATGTGTGTTTGGTGAGATGATTGTTTTAATATTAGCTTTTCAGTGTGGTGTGTTGCTAATTCACATCAGGATTGGTTTGAAATTGTTCCTAATTCAGGTGTAGCCATTTTAAATTCTTTTAACTTTTTTTAAAAACAAAGGTTAGTTGGCTACCCAGCCAAACTCAAGGCTTTAGCCTCATCTGTATGTACAAGAATTCCTCTGGGCCCTTGAAAGGCATTCTAAGGAAATAAAAATGTAAGCCAGTGCTTTGCCTGGAAATATGTTCATCTGCCAAGAAAACAAACCACCACAAAAGCCAAAGTAAGGTGGTAGGTAAAGGAGTGCTTTAGACTTGGCCATATCCAATATGGCACCCATTAAACTTCTTCCCAATGGTTGCCATGTCGTGAGTATGCCAATGATACCCTCTCAGAATTCTAAATATACCTTTTAGCTCCAAGGTGTGACCTATCTCTGAGACTATGAAACATTTATTTTGTGTCAAGTTGAATTCTAGGAAGAGTGTTTCCTACACTTCTGTGGAGGTTTATAGAATAGTTTTAAAAGGCATGTTTATTTAGAATTAAAGAGATATCAGTTGCATCCTGGGTGCTAAATGCAGCTGACACTGGGTGGCAAGGGAAAACCAACAGTATAAGCAAGAGTTAAAAGATCAGAAGAATAGGCCACTCTAACATAAAATTGTGATGTGGCCTACCAAACACAACCCAGTGAAGAGTTTCACTTTGTTTGTTTGTTTATATTCATTTCATTTATTTATTTCATTTATATGCAGCCCATCTCCCCCAGAGGGTGAGTATGGATATTTTCACAGAAAAAGCCCACATTCTGGTAGCGCATTTACTGAATCTCACATAACAAGGAAGGGCCTGTGTCTAAGGGCTTTTTTTCATGGGTACGTTCAAGTGTAGTCTCCAATCCTTCAGTAGGCAGAAAAATGGACTGGGATAATTTATGCAGCCCAATGGCCAAGTTCTATCCCATCTCAGGAACAAGGCTTGTGAGTGGTCCTGTCCCTCGAGCTTTACAGCAGGACAGTTTAAGGCCAACAATTGGTAGATTCCTGCAGTTTATGTCTCCTCCCACCCAGTATCAGCAGATGACAGGAAAAACCACTTTTGTTTACTGCCCTTAAAAGTGTGATGGGGAAGGCATTGGCAAGAGTGGATGGGATGGAACCTGTAGTCACCTTCTGGTTGCCCAAGTGAATGGTTGCCAATAAGGAAAAGCTCCATGCCAGTAACCTGCCACGATATCAGCCCTCTTCTACATGTGGGCTATTTCTGACCATGGATCTATTGGTCTTCTGGAAGATTGGTAGACTTGTGTTCAAAAAATAGCACCTGATGAGAGGTTGCTGCTGTCAGGCCTACCCCAAGGAACTCCAGGAGACCATGTAGATTCAGTTCAGCAATGTTTACTAGCTACAACCTCTGGCAAGAATCTTCCCAGACTGAAACCTCAGTTCCCAAAGTCAGCCAGTCAAAACAGTGAATTCCTCAGGGAGGTGCCAGCCTCATCCTCTTATCTCTTCCTTGCCCCTCAGGAGACGAAAGAGCATGTTTCCCTCCCTGAGTTTGGCCTTCATAATTCCATTCCGTCACAGCTGCGGTAGAAGAGAGCAATCCTCTATCCCATCAACCTATCAGCTGGGCTATTTTTGGACAGAGGTTTACCATTATTTCAGAAATTCGACAGACTGGTAGGATGGTTTAGTGGTCTTCCTGTTACTTGGGCTAGAAGAGAAAGTTGATAGAACTCTTGTCAGTTTCATCCCGATAATCAAATATCCCTAATGGATAGGTGCTTCAAGGAAGGACAGTGCTGACACCAAACAGCTATAATCAGCAGCATCTAGAAATATCCCATTGGATACCGAAAATGTCCTTAGAGTAGGCAAAATGGCACTGCCTCCCTCCCAAAGGAAGGAAGACAGTTTAAAGCATGGCCATGCAAAACTCTTTGGCAGCAGAAGCAGCAGAAGACATTCAATGCACTCATTTGGGGCAGAACCAGCAATACATCTCTTCCAAGTTTAATTGACCAGTAGCTCTTTGTCTAGTGGTCTTTTCAAAGATCACTGCAAATGTGTTTAATAACAGTCTAAAGGTCTTTCAGGAGACTGATGTATCAGTGCCTATATGGAGCCCATGAAATGCTGAATGACACTTTGCAGAGCATGAGTCAGGCATTATGCAGGCAAATGCTTCCATGGAATATCTGGTTTCTCCTGCAACCTAAGCCAACATATCCATGGAGGGCAGTGATAGTAACGAGAGAGTAGGGGGCATAACCTCAGCAACCTAAACTGGCCAATAGGATGCCAGCCCCCCACCATGTCATCACTAAGGACGTGATGGAGGCATTGTAGATTGCATACTAAGACTTCCGTTGGGAAAAGACAAAAATACTGCTTTCGAACTGGAATAGTTAAGGATGAGTTTAGGCTGCTTTCATGGTGGACTGGGGATGAGACAAAGGCTGCATCGTGAGTATGTGTCCTTTAACAATAATTAGTATGGCATCTCTAAGCAACAGTTAATGGGCCCTGCAGAAGAGCATTAAGAAAACAGGAGAGGTTACAATTTTGCATCATTTGTGATATGTAAAATGGAAATAATTCCCCATCTCTGCATCTTACTCAATATCTATTTCAAAGCTTCAGGAAAATCATTTAAAGTAAAGAAATGGCAGATCTGGAAGGTTTCCTTCTCCATTTTAAATTTCTCTTACTCACTGAACTCTTTTCAAAAAATGTGTTGAAATATTATCACAGATAATAGCAGGTAATATGCTCAGTCCAATGACTCAGGACAGATCAGGGATCGTTTCATCTCCATTTGAACGCTATATATTTTATACAAATATTTTTATTATCGTCAATCAACTGATTGCTGCTCTTTTTGCAATATCTATAGTTTTGCTTTGATTTTTCATTATCACCAGTATTCTTGAATAATGTAAATAACTAGGATTCAACTACGTGGGTTCCTTTATCTGTCTGTGACGTTTACTGCACTGATTTATCTCTAGAACAGAGGAGCCGGTTTTTCACTACAGCACGATCATCCAAACTGCCTGGCCCCTCGGAAGCGGCCCTATCACACAATTATACCTGCTCTGGCCACTGCTGCTGATTCAGGAGAACTTTTGTGTTCCTTTGGAGTAATGGGAGGATTCATGCAACCACAAGGTCAGGTGCAAGTAAGTATCTGTTCTTTCTGGGTGTAATTTATAAGTCTTCAGAAGATCTTTTGCAGTTTGAAGCTTACATGATTGGATATAATATATGCTTTTGAGTAAATTTGAAATTTGGGGAACATTTCATGGGCATTCTCACAAAATGACTGCTAGGAAAGTCACAAAACAACGAAATCGGCGAATGGGTGGGATTGCTCCCCACCATCCTTACTTCCCCAGGATGGTTTCTTCTATCTCTACTTCCATTTATAACTTACCTTTTTTCCTGGAAGGTGGGCATACATCCCAAAAACTCCTGCAGCTGCCTACTATTTTTATTTAAAAATAATGTTTGAAGAGGTCTATATCAGATCTAGAGGCATTCATGAAGTGTGTATATGTGTGTGTGTGTGTGTGTTTATTTAATGTGTTGTTTGAGATTGGGATTCTACCTTGTATCAGTAGAATGATACAGTAGATTGGGATTCTACCTTGTATCAGTCGGTAAACAGACTTTCTGTTTATTTTTTAATTAAAAGAGTTTAAAAAATAAAATCAGGTGATCATACAGCATATATTATATAGTTTGCCTTCAATAAGTATTAAATTATCTTGATAGTGATTTTGTGAGCATAATAAAAATGTGTCTGTATCTGTGTGTATCCATTCAATTGTGTCCGATTCTTGGAGACTGCCTGGACAAGTCCTGCAGTTTTCTTGGCAAGGCTTTTCAGAAGTGGTTTGCCATGGCCTCCTTCCTAGGGCTGAGAGAGAATGACTGGATCAAGGTCAGCCAGCTGGCTTTGTGCCTAGGTGGGAGTAGAACTCAAGGTCTCCTGGTTTCTAGCTTGATGCCTTAACCACGACACCAAACTGGCTTTCAAAAATGTATATAGCAACATAGAAAAAATATATTTATTATACAACAATATTGCCTAGATTGTTGGTGTTTTATGAATGGATAACTCCCTCGTGATAATCCAGGTTTGCATTTCCCTCTTGTATATGTTCCTATAGGTACTGCTGAATATGTTTGAATTTGGAAAGAATCCACAAGAGGCTTTGGATGCATCTCGGTTTTATATGGAGTATAGCAAAAAAAGTAAGACTCTAAAATGGAGGTTATGTTCCATGTATCTGAATAGGCTGGAAGAAATCTAAAGTAGTTGTCGTGTGCTTGTTTAAAGAGGAGTACTGAGTGTATTGACACAGTGCTCCAGATGCAGAGAAGATCTTGCTGATTAAAATTTAATAGCCCAGGTTTGGATAGGAATAAGAATTCTACCTTAATCAAATTCAGAGATGGATTCAATTTGTTCTTTTTCTCCCAGTTACACCAGCAAAGAAATAAGGCCCACACAGTCTGCTGTATGTTGAAATCAGTACAGTTTGCCTAATGGCGTTTCGTACCCTATGTTGCATTTGGTTTCTTTTTATTACTTTGTTTTTCCCTTTGGTTTATTTCATTTGTCTGATTTTGTTTTGCTGTTGCTCTTGGGCAAATGGTTGCAGTAGATGTACTTCACACAGAGGAACAGTCATGCAAGAAGTGACAAATGGAAAGCTGGGATTTCTGATGTTCCCCCCTCACAAATAGGTTTACTTCTGATTATGTAGTTTAGTCTCTGTATGCTACTTCCAGAGAGCCAGTTTGGTGTAGTGGTTAAGGTACCAGGCTAGAAACTGGGAGGCCTTGAGTTCTACTCCCACCTTCGACATGAAGCCAGCTGGATGTCCTTGAGCCAGTCACTCTCTCTGAGCCCTAGGAAGGAGGCAATGACAAACTACTTCCAAAATTTTGCCAAGAAGACTGCAGGGACTTGTCTGTTGCCAGGAGTCAAAAACAGACTCAAAGGGACAACCCCCCCCCCAATTCCTACAGTGAGCAGAAATTGATCAAAAGGTCAATTTTGCTTTAGATACTGCCCCATTGATCCCAGATGTGTTGAGTATATAAATACATGGTTGTCTGTTGCAGCAAATCACAGAGTTGGAAGGATCATTTAGATCATGGAGTCCAATCCCTCACTCAGAGGAAAAATCCAAAATGAAGCATTTCAGACACATGGCTGTCTAGGCTCCACTTGACTATATCCAAAAAAGGGGAGCCCATCCTGAAGGAAAGGTGGAACATAAATTTCACACGGACACATACATATGTATATAGGGGTGTGCATGTGTGTCTGTACACACACATACATAGTGATGTGCTAGTAAATATTTACAGTGGGGCAAAAAAGTATTTAGTCAGCCACCAATTGTGCAAGTTCTCCCACTTAAAAAGATGAGAGAGGCCTGTAATTTTCATGATAGGTATACCTCAACTATGAGAGACAAAATGAGAAAAAAAATCCAGAAAATCACATTGTCTGATTTTTAAAGAATTTATTTGCAAATCATGGTGGAAAATAAGTATTTGGTCACCTTCTCTCATCTTTTTAAGTGGGAGAACTTGTCTCTCATCTTTTTAAGTGGGAGAACTTGTCTCTCATCTTTTTAAGTGGGAGAACTTGTCTCTCATCTTTTTAAGTGGGAGAACTTGTCTCTCATCTTTTTAAGTGGGAGAACTTGTCTCTCATCTTTTTAAGTGGGAGAACTTGTCTCTCATCTTTTTAAGTGGGAGAACTTGTCTCTCATCTTTTTAAGTGGGAGAACTTGTCTCTCATCTTTTTAAGTGGGAGAACTTGTCTCTCATCTTTTTAAGTGGGAGAACTTGTCTCTCATCTTTTTAAGTGGGAGAACTTGTCTCTCATCTTTTTAAGTGGGAGAACTTGTCTCTCATCTTTTTAAGTGGGAGAACTTGTCTCTCATCTTTTTAAGTGGGAGAACTTGTCTCTCATCTTTTTAAGTGGGAGAACTTGTCTCTCATCTTTTTAAGTGGGAGAACTTGTCTCTCATCTTTTTAAGTGGGAGAACTTGTCTCTCATCTTTTTAAGTGGGAGAACTTGCACAATTGGTGGCTGACTAAATACTTTTTTGCCCCACTGTAGGAACCAATGCAGCTGGCTCCATTTCCACCACTGCATTGAACCACTAGCCATGGAACAGGTTTTCAGCACACTAGGCATAGCAGCTCAGTTCTCAATCAGATTTTCAGAAAATTTAACAATCACCTCTCATGAGTCAGTACAAGCTGGCTCCAGTATACCACACTCTCTCTTTGTATATATGTATATATTCATATATCTTTCTGTATCAACAATATATAGGTACATAATTTTAAAATGTCACAGGACCTATGTCTTGTATTTATCTTAGTTGAAAGGTACTTAGCTGGATCATCTACTTAGACCTATTGCCCTAAGGCAGAATGAGACATAGGTTTACTTAGAAGCAAATTTCAATAGTCCTTCAGGCAAGCATTAGCAGCTAATTGCACAGGATTGCGCTGCTACAGCAGCCTCCCTTAACCTGGTGACCTTGGGGATCTTGATCCTTTGTTGACACTAGGTTTGTAAAAGCTGCTTGAAAGCATCTCTCTTCATCCAACAACTTCTTTAGAACCAACTTGGACGAAGATCTCTGTTGCTGAATTTCACTTTTGGTAGGAAGCTCTTAAAACATAACCTCAGCATTCCTCTAGCCTTCCTCATCTGCCTGACTGAAGCATAAGGGGTGAAAATGAATAGGAAGGAAAGTCATACATATATGCAATGTAGCAGTTAAATGTTGAGCTTGGATCAGGGATATCCCAATTCAAGTCCCCACATGGTTGTGAAACTCACTGGTGATTTTGGACCTATCACTCTCTCTCAACCCATCCCACTTCATAGGTTTGTTCTTACAGGGACAAAATTAGTAGAGACAGCCCTTCATCCCCTAACCCCATCCTGTACATATCTTACCCTGAGCATCTTAGCCATTTTACTAGGATTTAGGGTTAATGTACACAGAAAAATTGCAGGAAAGACAACAAATAAAATAAAAATCTGTTCATCTTTAAAGCTCCATACATTCAGTGCAAAGGTGTGGCTGGTGTCACAACAAAAGCTATGTAAAAGTAATTGAATAAAAAAAATCCCCTCTCACCCCCATGGGTGGTATGTGTTTTCCTCAATTTCAGGTCCTCTACCAGAAGCCTGGAAGTTTGAAGGTTCTGCGCAGTATCTTAGTTGTTCCTAGCACTGCACTCTGTCCATCTTCTGGACAGAGAACTCTTACATATACAGTCAGGTCCAGAAATATTGGGACATCGACACAATTCTAACATCTTTG